AAAAAATGGGGGTATCCATTTAAAAACATCATTGTGACCTTGACCTGATCTTTATGACGCAACTCAAGGTCAAACTGCTAATATCATAAAATAGATCTTTTTAAACCCTACAACTTTTGTATTTAACATTTTTTTATACAACGCTTTGTTTTCGAGATATTCAGGTGTTCCGATATAGAATATTCACCCTGTATAGTGGCTTCTGTACACGGAACGCACCAACGCTTCCCCAATAGCACAGATGTCCAGAAGACGTCCAGAGTACGTTCTGGCGACGTTTCTACGTCCTCAGGACATCTCTGGGACGTCCCCAGGAGATTTTGTGCTATATGGGTTGCCACGCGACGAAAGTTTGCACACGATAGACAATTAAAGTGCTGCTTTCCGTAAAGCCCATTTTACAATAAGTAATAAATCTTAAGTCATAATAAAATTGGCCAATTATAGTCGACTATTAGAAGAATAATCCACTGTAATTGGTCAATTTTATTGCAACTTAAAACTTATTGCTTATTGTAGAAAGCCTTTAAAGCATGATCTACAATAAGAACTTAAGGGGATGCTGAAGTGGATGACGAACTCGCTAAGCGTCGATAACGTAGAGGCGATCGTCAAAAAATAGAAAACGTTATCATTATCTATCGACGTTACCGATTTCATGTATAGATATATATAGATATAGATACATATAGATATTTATCAAGTAAAGACGATCGTCAAATAGGCGCTGACATAATGTCGCTATTTTCTTTTTTTCATACATGCATCATTTCTACATATAGATATATGAATGCAAGTGTGTGTTCTACGTTGTCATTTCAATTTTCTTACACATAGATGTTACGTAAATGTGAATACCACGTTGCCGATATTCGCATTCTCTCCGAAATAGACTTTCGCTGCTTTTCTGATGAATTCTTCAAACCGCTTGTGTACTGGGTGAATCAAAGAAAGAGTTTTTTATAGAGTTTTATAATAAAGCATTCCTCACTCAGGAATGAAAACGATGTAGAACTATTGCTATCGTGACACTGATTTCCTTTTGCAAAAATTACAGCGCAATTACTGTTCCAATTTATATGATAAAATTTGGTGCAAATATATAGTGAAATATTGAATTTTAATTTCCATTGAAAATTATATAGAAAGCTCACATATTAGATAATATGTATTCTACAAAACAATATTCGTAAATTACTCTAATGCGTATAACATATTTCTCGAAAAAACTCTTTCAATGATGCACCCACACTGAGAGAAAAATGTATGATATTTGGAACTATAATGGCATAGTAAACAGATTATAGTTAGGAATATAATTTTTATAGCAAATGTTACCATAATATTTGTAATATTTACAATATAAGCATAGTATAATTGACCCGTGTAAAATTTTTACCAAGAATTATAATTATTTTAAATAAAAAATATAGTAATAAGGTGGCAAATATTGAATGATAAGAGAAATTATTAATTATTTTATATAGTCAATACAATTGGAATATTTCGCAAATATAGGTACATGTAACTATATTCCCAAAATGTGCTTTACCATATATATATAGAATAATAAGATGGTGACTATAAATTTGTGTTTATTCTACTATATCTTCATGTTTAGATGAATTTTAAATATATGTTTGAGGCCAAAACGAACTATAAAATATAGTGAGATTATAGTTATTCCAATTATTTTTTTCTCTCAGCGTAGTACATAAGTGGTTTGAAGAATTTATCAGAAAAGCAGCGAAAGGCTCTCTTGGAAAGAATGTGAATATCGGCAACGTGATATTCACATTTACGTACCGTCTATATGTAAGAAAATTGAAATGACAACGTAGCACATACTTGCATAACATCTGTGAAGCAACGATATATGAAAAGATAAACCGAAATTATAGAAAACTCCTTTGAATTAACCCATTAACGCCCAAAGAAACAGAATTTTGTTTGTTATTTCAGACGTTGTAAGTAACATGAAAATCAGTTTTAAAATAGCTCCAAAGTACCTTATCCACTATTTTCGAGGTCGCTCTTTCGATTGGTGAAGTCAGAATTGCATTTTAAAGTCACCAAAAAAAAATATGGCGGATTTTAAACAAAAAAGTGACGAAAATTCTGAGTGCTTCCGAGTTTGGGATTTTTTTTGAGGGACAAAATGCCATCAAAATATTTTTGGACTTCAACCAAAAGTGCACAAAATAGTTCAAGATGACGACAAAATTTTTTCCTTGGCATGAAAAATTCCTAACCTCTTCATAATAACCGGAAAGCCCTGCGCGTTATTTGAATGATGGAAAAAGAGATTCAAATAGCTGCCCGGTCGCCCAAACTTTTTGAAAGTCCCTGAAAGTCCCTGGAAACTCGTATATAGGGGTTTTCGGGGTTGCTGAACACGAATCTGAGGTTAGAATTTTAAAATTCAAGATGGTGGATCCAATATGGCCGACAAAATATCGAAAAAAGCATCAAAACTGACTGAAAATGCATACATCAAGGTTTTTGGGGTCGCTGATCACGAATCTGAGGATAGAATTTCCAAATTCAATATGGCGGATCCAATATGGCCGACAAAATATCTAAAAAAGCATCAAAACTGACTGAAAATACATACTTCAAGGTTGCTGAGGACTTTCTTGTCATATTCGCTGAATAAAATTTTATTCATGAGATCATAACAATACCTTTTTCATTATTTATCCCATTAAGATCATTGATTTTTTCCAATGTAGCTTGATGTTCATCTAGATTTTGAATAACTATTTATTTTAAATGATATTTTCATTATCAAGTTTCAAACATATAAAGTTCCCTCTTTCAAAATTATCAATAGTTTATTTGGGTAATAGTCCAAATCGTTGTCAGTTTGTACTTTTTTAGTTTTTGAGGAGCACAATTCCTCAGGTATCGTCAAATAATCTCAGATTCTTGACGCAGGTGGTGTCCTAAAGTTACCAAAAAGGGGTTGACATCGTTTGAGTTATAATTCGCTATACTTTTGTATGAACTTGAATTATATCACAAATAAACTATTGAATGTAATTTCACATTCAACATGAGGAGGAATTGGTTGCCATTCCAAATCCAGATAATTCTGGTTCCTCAGGTGGAGAGAGTTCGGATGATGAAACTGATCGTGGAAAGGCCAAAGTAACTATGACTTATGACAAGATCTGTAAAAGTTATCGCGAAAATCAAGATAAATTGGAAAAAGGTCAT